GTAAATATCCGTGCTTGGCTATTAGAGTGCTCCCCAGCCAGGCCTTTGCCTGCAGATTCCTCTTATCTCTTCCTAAGGCTCAGCAAGATTCTCTCCTTCCAGCACTCATCTTGTTTGCTCACAAAATGTTCCTCCCCCAAAGTCTGCCTCTCCTACTTGCAAACATCTCAGGAGCTAGCACAGAATTCAGTTCATTTGTGAATCTTGGAGAGAATTCTCAAGCAGAACTGAAGGGAGTGATTTGGGGTTGCTAAGGGGTGGGTGTCCAGGACTAAATCTTTGGTTAATATTCTTCCATGCTTTGTTCTCCAAGCTAAGGCATTATTACACACTTTTAGCATCCTCATGTCCTCAACTCTAGAGAAGAAAGCACTAGACTGGAGGCTTCTGAGAATCTTTTACTTAAGGTTCCTTATAACCCCTGCTATCTCCTCCATACCACCCTTCAGACACGGGCTCTGGCTATTTATTACAGGTTATATGTTGCTAGGGCACTGAGAGGGAGCTAAACAGGGTGAAACTGGGGAAGATGGTATGACAGAAAAAAAGGCCAGGTCTCCATAAGCTTTGAGGACAGGTGGGTTCCTATAAACTAAGCTTATAACACAGATTCCATGACCTGGGTAGAGGTGATCTCAATGTCAAGAAAGATTCCTTCTGGAAGTCTCCAGTTTTCTAAGTTAACCAATACATTACAAAGCACGGCTACACAAAGAGAACCCCTTCTGAGGCACTTCAACTCGCACCAACCGCTTCTCATTGGATCTCCCAGGGGGCAGCTACTTAACCACTGCTCTTTGCCCTGAAGCATGTACCGCCTGGCCTTCACTCAAATGGGTTCACATGCACGTGTGCACGTTCCTAGGCAGAGAGAACATGGCAACTGACACTTACAAATTCTGCACGCATACCAGACTCTCAATAAATGCTGTTGAAGCATCTCAGCCCTACTTTTCCATTTTGAGAAACCAACATGCTCTTGTGTCTAAGCAGTTTATTATCCAGATTGAAATAACAACTATTCAGCTAGAGTCCAAGTAGTAAATATATTTCTTTCAAGGTTCTTCCAGTTTATCACACGGTGCTTAATTTAGGCTGAGGGTATTTACATCTGTGACATAAAAAGGTATAAACAACACATCTATAGCTTTGATCCTGCTTTGTTTTGCCGAGTTGCTGGAGCAGAAAACTTCACAAGAAATCAGAGTAGGCACTTTTCTCCAATTATGTTTTAATTCATGGGCAATCATTCTCTACAGCAGGTGGTAAGTAGAGTAGAAGTTAGAGAGAATGAAGGTATGATGTAGTGTTAAGTAATTTTAATTTTAATTTGTACAACTGAGTATTGCCGGGGTGGCAGAGACAAAATGTCTCTGTCAACTGAAGCCAGGTGAACAGGATGTACAACGGTAGCATCAAACGCATCCAGAACCATCTCCTCAGCCAACTGTACTGCAGTCTAAAACAGACTGTTTCTCACTTGAACTTTCTGAGTGCCTTGGCCTAATTCTTCATTTCATCATGAGGCCCTCTTCCTACCTTTTTGCTTGAGGATCCTGAACATGACCTTGAGATTATTTGAGTAACTGCAGTGTCATTTTGGAATTGGCCCAAGCCGCAAAAGCACATTCCTTTGCATAGTATGCCATTTTACACTATGCGGACAATCCATGCTCAGAGAAATTAGTGAAAAACCTTTTCCAAAAAGACTCATCTATCTTAGGAAAATTTCATTCTTAATCTGTTTGCTAAACATTTATTACGTATGTTATGGGAATGACACTTTAAAATACAGAAATTAATAAGACAAGCCTCTGACCTCAAAAAACTTCCAGTCTAACAGGAAAGACACTCACACACACTGAACTCTGACCCAGCTGTCAGCCTAGGTCAGTCCTCCTGGTATCCCCCATGTCAGGAATGGGTGCACCATCTGCCCAACTATTTAAACCTGAAAGCTAGGAATCCCCCTTCAGTCAGGATCTTCATCTCTATGGCAACCACCCAGATCCAAGCCACTGTTCTCTGTCACCTGGACGAAGGAAACAGCCTTCTGAATGGTCTCTTGCCTCTATGCTACCTTCTCCAAATGACTACATGCTAATATTTGTAGTAAGTACATCTTCAGGCTACCCTCCTCCTTAAGGCCCTCTGACAGTTTCCCAGCACTCCTAGGAAACAGTGAAACTCTTTCCAGCGGCCTATAAGGCCCCTGACCACCTCCCCTCCACCACTCTCCTTCTTCTTCCTCTTCTTCCTGTATCTTTCCTCTTCTCACTTGGAAGCCATTGTGCCTGCTTTTCCTTCTGCCTGGAATACTCTCCTCCCTCTCCTTCTCTGCTGCCCAAGTGTCATCTTCCCTCCGCTCAAGTCTTAATGTTCCCTCCTCAGGAAGCCTTCCCTGATCACTCCATGAAATACTGACCCAAGTCATCAAACACATTTTCTTTTCATTTCATTTTCACTTTCTGAATTTATTTGTAAATTACCTGTGATTGCTTTCTCGCCTCCACAAGCAGTGAACTGACCCTGTCAGTGTTGTTGGTAACTATGCCTATGCTGGAACCTTCACAGAAGGCACTCAGAGAGGACTTGTTGACAGATGAGTGTATGTTACAAAGAAGAACAAATAAGAATGACAGAAATGGAGCAGTGTGCTGTGAAGAAGGGACATTTATTTTTGATCAGGGGAGGAAAGGTGGGAATAGCTTCTGGAGGAGAGATCGTACTTACTATGCCTTGGAGGAAGAACAGGCAGCGCATCTCAAAACACATGCCAGGCTCTGGGACCAGCAAAGGAAAAGCCCCAAAGGCATCGCTAGCCCAGCTGAGTCTGAGCACAAACCTGAACCTGAAATGCCTGGGTTCCCAGCATGCGGAGAGGCAAGTGCTAAGAAGAGCCGGGGGACAGAGAGCCTGAGGGACATGGTAAGGGGCTGGAATTTCATTTTTAAGACCATGGAAAGTCACTGAAAAGTTTTAAGAATGAAAATTAGGACACTTGACCTACATTTTATAAACACAGAGAAAAAGCATTTTAACTTAAAAACACACAAACAACAAAAAATGGCATCACTTTTAGGGGGATGGAGGAGAAAAAAGAAGGACTTAGATCCTATCCATAAATGCTAAGGAAAGAAGGGGCCACAGCTGGCAACCCTGTGTCTCAGAGGATAGGCCAAGTGGAGATCACTTTTTGGTTTTCAGAGGCATTGAACAGCCACACAATATTTGCAAATGGTTTCAAAGTAGAAGGCACCACCATCAAGGATAATGAAGCTGGTGCCTGGATGTCAGGACTGGAACTATGTCCCAAACTGGGAGATGAATCCAAGCAAGCACTCTTTGTGTCCCAGAACAATTTAATTAGCCAAACGACATTGAACAGATGGAAATGCACTATTTAAACGGAAACTGACCCTAAAGACCTGCATATTACATTAAACTTAAATAAAGTGAGCATATGAAAGATATGAAAGATTCAATCTCAATCTCTAGTTGCTAAAACTACTATAAGGAATTAAAGACCCACAACAAAATGTGCCTTCCAAAGTACTGATAATCCATTTGCTCTGACACTGTTCTCATATTTCAGGGGTCTTATCAATCAATACATCTTATTTCAAGATAGACTTATTTAATGAGCACAATTCTCCTCAATAACCATGCAATAAGCTAGAAGGGCTGAATGGCATAGACAAAGGCTGACACAGGGGAGTAAACTGCTTGCTTCTACTTCTAGAAGTTCTAGAATGAGGGAGAGGCCCAGAAGCCTGCATGCACGGTATTGCACTAACTAGCTTTTTTTTTTTTTTTTTACAAAGTGTCAGAGTTCTGGGCTTCAGCTTACTCACTCATAAAATGAGGAAGCCAGAAGTGTGATCAAAGCCTTCCCCATCCCCACCCCATTTTACTCCTATAACAATGAAGAAATTCCTCATAGACATATCTGCTTTCCACAAACCAGAGTACTGACTTGAGCTGAAGGAGAGAAAGCCATCGAAGATGTGGCTCAGTGCTTGTGAGAAGTGATGAGCCAGGAGGTCACGGGCAATGGAACTGGCCCCCAGGTCTGAACTAGCACCCTGATTGGAAAAGGGCATGTAGGAACATGGTCAGAGCGTGATGGGAATCAGGCAGACCTGGACTCACACCACAGCTCTAAGTAGGAAACCATGTCAAGGCACACCTGTATTGAGTTTCTCTGTGTGAAATGGAGAAAGAGTTATCCTGAGAATTAAAAGAGAGAATAGAGCAACTGCTAAATAAATGACAGTTCTAGAAGATGATGTTGGTGTCAGTTTTATATCACTTAGTTAGCTATTAAATTTACTTCTACTGTTTTATATGAGATTCTCCTTGTAGGAGAGAGAAAATGATGGACTCTCACAAAACTAGAAAGGATCCCAAAGTCCTTTCATCCTGTCCCCTGTTTTCAGGCATTTTCATTATCACGGCCGTTCTACCGATGAAACCACAAAGGACCTGAGCAGTTAAGCCGACCACCCAAGATCACCCAGCTATGAAGTCCGTTTAAAACACTACCGTTTGTGTCCTCAGTGGGCCCCCAGTGCTTGGAAGCAGTGAACATAATTTCCTGGGCTTTTTAAAGCTTTAAGAATCAAAGCTGTTATTACAATAAATTTATAAAATGAGATGAAAGTGACTAAGCCAAAGGGATGGTGCGCTGAGTAATCAAAGTGTCAACCCTGAAATATTAGACAGTTATGAAAATGAAAATGAAGCTGTAACAATCCTTACTAATGCTTATTATGCTGTTAAGCAAAAATCAGAATATGTAATCTCATTTATGTTGTGATTATAACTAAGCAAAATTATGTAAATATACAGCAAGGGCTGGAAAGGAACTTGGAAAATGACTGTGGCTGATAAGGAGGCTCGATGGCAGGTTTATTTTTATCTGGTGACTTTAATGGAGCGGACACAATAAACACCACAACAGTGACAATCACAGGGAAGGAGATGTGCTGGTCACTCACCCTGGGTTATACAACATGACCGCGGAGAGGTTCTCACAGGACTTCGAGAGGTCAGTCATGGACAAGCTGAAGGAGGACAGAAGGCCACTCTAAGAGCAGACACAGGGCAGAGCGGTTACCTTAGCGGACAAGAGGAGGCCTGTGCTCTGGACTCCCTGCTTTCCACTTGTGAGAGGCAAGCAGGTGCGCACACTCCTGACTAGCACATCTAACAAATGCTCTCCCTGAGGCCGGCACCCAGGGACCAGTGGGCTGGGGAGCCTTCTTGAGCACGCTCGGAGGGGAAAGCTCACCGGGAACTCCACAACCCTGCTGGTCTCCTTGACCAGGCTGCATCAAAGTCAAGGGAAGGAGTCATGACATCTTTGTTGTCCTCCATTCCCTGGCAGGAGCACTGACCTCATATCAGCTGCACTCACTCACACTTACTGAGCGATAAAGATGAAGGAGGAAGAGGTGAAGGGAGACCAAAAAATTAAGAGCTTGACCTGCTTTGCTTCCATGAAAAGCTACTGGCAAACATGCTTGCTTCCCTCTTCCTCTGCAACTGTGTACCTAAAAGGACCCTCCAGGGAGCCCCCGGGCTGGAACAGATAGGAGGCTTCACTGGTGGGAACGAGCACCTCTGGAGAAGGCTGGGGTTTGCAGCTGTGCTGTCTTGTTATTTCCCACTTGAGACACTGGCAACTTTGGACAGCCCTTAATGAAAGTGGGCTGAGATGCAGGGCTGTGTAACTCAGTGGTGAAAGGCAAACACTTGCAGGTTGGCAGGTCAGGGCTGCAGCCCCGGCTCCCCACTTGCTGCCTACAAACAAGTTAGTCTCAGTTTCTCATCTCAATCATCTGTGACATGAGGTAATAACAGCTGTTGTGCAGATAAAGTGGTAGCACGTATGCAGAGGTTTTGCACAGTGCCTGGCTCAGAGAAATGTTAGCTGTAGTCTTAAGTATCTTCCTCAATCTAAGGACAGTCCCTAAACAGATTCTCTCCCTCATTTCTTCCCCTTTCTTTCTGGTCCTCCGCCCTCCTCCCCCATCTAGCACTTAAGTGCCCTCTGGATGTCCCCATCCAACTAAGCCAAAGTGTCTCCCAATTGTCGTAAACCCACCCCTGCTCTGCTTCACACCCCACTCAAAATTCCAAATCAATACGGATGGAAAGAAAGAGGGAGAAGCTTTTGGGATGAAAGTGATTCTGCCACTGGGTTAACTCCTCAAATAGATGCTCATAAGTGGAAGTCACTCTCCACTTAAGGCAAAATGATGCCGAACTCTTTTTTGGGGGTGCAGGGTTGAAGAGAAGGGGCTAGAGGAGCCATTTCTCCTTCTGCTCTGGACTTTACTTGCTTGCTCTCCTGTTTCATCAGCCAATCACCCTCCCTAGAACCAATGCAGGTTACAGAAGGGCTTTTAAGTGGTTCAGAAAGTCAAACTGCTGGACCCAGTGTGGAGACACCTGCAGGCCCAGCCCCGTCCAGAGCAGGGTCAGCTCCCAGAGACCTCACACCGCTCACCTTCCTCTTCTCCCTGAGCTTGGCAGCTTCCTTTGGATGGTTAAAGCGAAACATATTGGTTCTTCCCAAGAGAATCACGGCACCTACGAGCACACAAAACATGAATGAGTTTCCAGGAAGCAACCTGGTTAGTTGGCAACATCATAACGTGAAATTCTACAGTTGAAATGCAATTTCCAGTGTACTTTAAAACAATAATAAGAAAGTCTCAAAAGTCTGCTGACATAAGCCAGCTTTAAATCTGCAAATACTTTTATTTTTACAGCCGAGTGTCACAATACTCATGTTACCCAAGACAGAAGTGACGGGTCTAAGCCTTATAATATTACGAGATTTAAAACCTAATATACAGGCAATGATACTTTTGACTGTTGCAAAGAAAAAAAGAAATCAGTTCTCCAAAGAGATGTTGGAATCAAGCAAAGCATGGGGTCGCCAACTTAGGAAATGTTTATTAATGCCAAGAAAAGCAGAAGTCTCCAAGGAAAGTGCTTTTGAAAGAAAACACAGTGAAATCGGCAGAGCACAGGTAACCGTTATGAAAATCTCCCTCAGAACCTGATGGGGAAGAAACTGTGTACAAGCAGTGTCTATTTCCATACAAAAACACTGCTTCTTGTTAAAGTCCTATTAAAATTTAGATGGTTACATAAGACACACAAGAAAGGCTCCTTTTGACAACTAGGGTCCTGCTTATTCAGCAAATGACTGCACAAGGGGCAAAAGAAGCCAACGTAACTGCCCAAGGGTAACAAAATTGTTGAGGGAGGGCAAATTTCAGCTTGATTAAGTAAATAAGTAAACAAGTAAACACTTTCTAAGGTCAGAGCTGTCCAAAGCTGGCACGGGTCCACGTAAGGTAGTGAGCTCAAGGAGGCATTTAAGGGAAGAAATGCTCCAAAGAGTTTCACTATCTTACCCAGTCCCATCCACACCTGAGAGTCTACTGTGCCTCAGAACAGACACTTATGTACAGTCTTTGCCCTGAAAAAGAATGCAACTTATTTGTTGCATACTAGAAGTCAGCCATCAAGGATGACATGTCAGGAGATGTGAAGCATCTAAGTGATGAGTGCAGGCTGCAGTAGCTGTGGACAGACTTTTCTACCAAGGACCTAAGTTGGGTCTCACAGGACAACTAGAAGACAAGAGAGGTGTTCCATGTCGGGGTAACCATGGGGACGGGCTAAGCCTCAGACAGGATATGTTTGGAGAGAGGAGGGAGTCAAGTCCACCCAAAATGCAGAACATCTGAGATAACAGATAACCAGAATCGCTACTGGACAGATGAAGAGGAAACAGACTGAACAACTGGAGAGCCAGGACAAAGAATGTACACCAAAGGTCACCAACTGGGGGCCAGAGAAAAAATTCAGCACATGGATGTGCTTCCTGTCCTGCGCAACATTTAAAAAACAAAATTATTAGTTGCCAACAGTCAAACATCTGCAGGGGTTTTTTTCTGCTTTTTCTCCCCAACCCCTCCCCCCCACACCCCCAAAGTACATAATTGTATATTTTAGTTCTGGGTCCTTCTAGTTGTGGCATGTGGGACCCTGCCTCAGCACGGCCTGATGAGCGGTGCCATGTCCACGCCCAGGATTCGAACCAGCGAAACCCTGGGCCCCTGAAGCAGAGCATGCGGATTTAACCACTGGGTCACAGGGCCGGCCCGCAAAAATCTGCAGTTTTTTTCTGGCTGTGTTTCTTTCTGGCTTCCCTTTAAAAATTAGAAGATATGGTATCAGGAGAGCTGTATTGGGTTTGGCAAAAGTCCATGGGCAGCTGCTGGCTGCCTCGTTTGGACAGGGCACATGACCTCTGGGCAACCCAGTCACCAGCCTCTCACTGGGGTTCTATCTCCCCCTGGCTGTTACCTGCCCGTAATATCATGACCCCAGAGAGTTATTCTGGAGCTTCAGATCAGTATATCCACCAGCCTATTTGACATATTGTCTTGGACTCTGAAAGGGGTTTCAAATTCAATATGGTTAAAACCTAACAGGTTTCGATCATAACCACAGGGAGCAAATGAAGGGCTGGTTCTGGGGGTTGTCATTATTAGGCAGAAATGGAGTCCACATGAAAAGGAGGATGCAGTTTTAGGAGACTTAGAAGGGCCGCAGTGGATATTATCCACTTTACAATCTGCTTATCCCCCTCACAGAAAATTGCATTCGTGTATTTTCCAATTACGGAAAGGCACCATTACCATAATTAAGAAAGGTGTTTCTCATGCCTTTTATGACCAGGACTCAGAACTGTGAACCATACAGAAAGTCAAAAGTTAAGCAGCCATGTCTAGGATATATGTATTTTTAATGCTCTTAAAGTGACATTAGAAATTAATAAGGCAATTTCATTTATGGTGTTAATTACGTCTAATCCAATTCTGTTTTTTTTCTGTTAATCAAATGCCCAGCCATGCAAGTTAAAAATTGCTAAAATATGTTAATGGAAAAATAGAATAGTATTTCGGAGGCACATATCATATCACATTAAATCACTGAAAATAATCTTGCCACCCATGTTATTTGCATCAAATACACATAAAAATCCTTTTAAGGAGTTATAAAGAAAACAAAACTACACATGACTGTTCTTGGTTTCCATCTACATAACATGTGTAAACCACCTGGCACACAAAAGGGCTCTGTTAGGGCTGGTCGCCTTCTCTTTCCTTTATTATATTCCTTTACTCCACAAACCTACAGACTTAAAAAATTTGCTTCGTTTTTATGTGATGCTGCTGCTCATTCATTCATTCAATAAATATTCAATGAACACCAATTATGTGCTAGTCACTGTGATAAGCCCTGGCAATAGAGAGCTGAACAAGTCAGACATATGCCTTGCCCTTACGGAGCTTATACACAAGTATGAGAGTTAAAAAATCAAATAATTCCACAAAAAAATGCAAAGCTGCAACTCAAGAAGAGATCCCCTGCCCGGTGCTCAAAGGGCACATAGGAAAGGGGCTGACTGCAAGGGGGGTTATGGAAGGATGCCTCAAGGGAGGTGGTGGTTAAGAGAAGCTTTGAGGATGGGAGGGAGGAGTGGAATGGCATATGTAAAGGTCCTGTGGCAGGAAAAAAAAAGATGACGATGATGAGTGATTGAAAGACAATTGTATGCTTACAGCTGAGAGAACTAGGGAGAGCACTGCACAAGACAAGTCTTGAGAGAAAGGGAGGAAGCAGACCACGTGGAATTTTTCAGGATACAGTAAAGCATCTTGTATTTTATGTAGGAACAGGAAGACATCAAGGCCTTTTTGCAGCAGCATTACATGATTCAAGTTTCAGAAAGATCATTCTTTTGCCTGAAGAATGAACCAAAGAAGGCAAAAGCAGATGCAGATAAACAAAGTAGGAGGCTCCACAATGGTCCAGGTCAAAGATGACAGTGGCTAAGAACTTGGAGGGAGGGGTAGAGAAGGAGGGAAATAAACAAATCAGGAAGATATTAGCAGATAAGATCAACAGGACTCGACGACAGGCTAGATACAGGGACAAGAGAGATGAAAAGGGCTCCTGGGTTTTGGCCTGCCATAACTAGTTGGATGGGGAGCTGTTCACACAGGTTGAGAATCCTGGAAAAGGACCAAGATTGGTTGGGGGAGAAATCATGAGTTTACTTTTAGACTTAATGAATTTGAGATGCCTTTGGCAGGCAGAAATATGGGTCTGAAGCTCCAGAAGAAAAGCACAGATTATCTATCAATTTATCTGCCTGTCTACCAACCTACCCACCCCCCTACCTACTTACTCTCAAATACATATAGAGACACACACACACATGTACATACCACCCCTGTATCTGGGTGTATATACATATATATATACACATTTATCTACAGACGTTAGGTAGATATGCATACATATATGTGCACAGATGTATGTGCATGCACACGCAAGTGTGTGTCTCTCTCTATATTTGAGAGTCATCTCTAATAAATGAAGCCATGGGGGTGGGAAAGTCACCTGAGAAGAGAACAGAGAGATGGAAGAAAACAGGACCTAGACTGGGCACTTTGAGGAACACTGGCTTTTAATGGCCAAGTAGAGGAGGATGAGCCTGCAAAGGAAATGGAGAGGGGCCATCAGAGAGGGAGAAGGAAAACCTCAGAAGCCAAGGGAAGGAGTGGTCAAGGATGCAGAACACCTCTGAGAGATGAGCCAAAAGGAAAAGACTGGAAAATGCCATTGATGTGGCGGCCCCGGGGAGAGCGGAGGGGCTGAGGAGTGAATGAGGGAAGGAAATGCAGATCCCGAGTACACACACTCATCCAAGAAGCCTGTGGATGAAGACAGTTGGTAGCAGCTGGAGAGGGTGATGTATCCCACAGGATATTCTGTTTTGCTTTTGTTAAAGGAAGACTCCTGAGTACATTTTAAAAGCAATTACCAAGCTGAAGAAAAGAAGGGAATGAATGAATGAGAATGACCGACGGTGTAAGGTTTCTGGACGAGATCTTCCCGAACTCTTGGCGTGGTCAAGGATGAGTCTCCAGAATTCAGCGTCCTCACTTAGGCATCCGACTGGATCCTTTCTAACGTTCCTTCCAGATCTTAAATTCTCTTTAACTACGACCTACTCCTTGATCTGAGGCTACTGTGATTAATCACAGCAGATGGACTTTTTGTAACACAGTTAATTTGTAATTTTTAGAGTATATCTAAACCTCCTTGAAATATATGATGGCTTCTTTGGGATTATTTCAGAGCTTGTTAACTACCTGAAGACAGACAAATTCCAGATGGTCTTAAAAGGGAATGGAGGGAAAATGAAATCATAAAAGGCTAGACAAAGACACATGTCACCAGACAAAACAAAAAAGCTTCACTTATATCTCTGTGAATGAGAATACACTGAATGCTGGTTTCACATGAGATTTTATATTTTAATATTTTAGGTATACTAAAGACATTAGACATGTAAACATTTCTAGTGATTTCTAAGGAGTGTACAGATAATAATCATTAATATCACCATTAATTACTCTCCTCGAATTTTATGTGAGATTTTAAAATTCTGCTACTGCACAAACAAATCAACTTTTTTTTCCTATTAAATGTTGTCA